ATTCCTTCTTATTCAACTTTAACATATAATTTCTATTATTAATTCTATTGGGCCTAATATTCACACCCCACCTTTTACTACCAACAACACTATAAATTAAGCCCATAAGAAATAATAATAGCATTATTATGATACTATCTTCCACCACTTAATCAACTCAATAATAATCCAACATAATAATATTATTTCTAATATTATTTCTCCGATTAAACTGACTTATTTATCTGACTATCAACTTACTGCTCAACTCAACATAATTAATCAATTATGCTTCTTAGAATCATACTGATAATTCTCAACTTCGACAATTTCCAATAATCAAATACTTAATTAATTTAATTAAATTCGGGGCGTCACAACTCTCCCTCACTTAGGATATTTTCGTCCTCGAAAATCTATCCAACACAACCATCCTCAACTTCGGTTCCAACCTCTCTGATTCTCAATTGCGCTTGGTAACACTTCTACTACTACCTTTCTGATATAAAAACAACTCAACATGGTTAAATCCAATACGCATACGTTAATCTTCCAATACTCTTGCAACATAATATACTTATCTAACAATATTTCATATATATCTACACCCCAAACAACTACGATAGTAATCATCTAAGCTCAACAAGCTACTAACCTCTATAATAGACTTTGTCGTTCTCCAACTTAGAACTGCATCCACCTTGAATGGATCTACATACACTTTCACTTGGAAATAATATTACTCAAGATAACTCTTCTCCCAAAACTATAACATACATCCTGACAACTCAGCATAAATCCTCCTCCTTTTCGACACCGTAAATTCCACACAACTTTGCACTATCATTTTTCGTTCTAATTAATAAAATCAAAGCTTTCCAAATGATACCTTTGATTTCACAAATTAATTTAAATAAATCTTCCAATTTCTCCTTTAGTTCACCCAACTCGGACGCTGACGTCCCGTACAACACTGAAGAACAAGCCCAGTCCCAAAGACAAGCTTAACAACAAACTAAACTTACTTTCAATATCATCACGTGATAAATTAATCTATTACAGCTATTGGAACCATTTTTAAAATAAAGCTTATTTCGTTAGATTTCCAAGGCTTCAAACGAAACTCAAATCGGATGCCCAGAACTCTAGTTATGAATTTTTGAAGTCCCACAATAATTCTGCAGTTTCCTGCAATTTGCTTACGGAAATTCCACTCCGAAACTCATTTGTCTTCAACTTAGACATATTCCAAACAACTCTTAGCATATCTAGTGCTCCCAAACTTCTTATAACACAAGAGATGCATCCCTTTGCCAAAGTTCAGGTTCCAAAACACCAGGGCAACAATTCCTTTCACAACACTACTCACTTCTTCATGTTTTGACTCAGACTCGCGATTCACAACTACTTATCAACGTCAAATACTTCCACAATCACTTATGTGATCTCAACACAAAAGTTACAGCAACTTTGTTACTACATCATTATTCAAACATTGACATCTTACACTTGCTTCGTAAATCAACAAATATTACACCGCTCTTCATTCTTCGAGAAATAAGCATCAACAATGTCTGATCAATTTCTCTCAAGGCGCTCTAACTCGACTAACAACAAGACCTTGAATCCAAGTCACCTTCAAATTCGGGAACAACAAGACTCCAACAATTCTTGCATTGTCATCATCGACAACACACCGAACCAACACCTTTCAATTGAACATATCAGAGAAGCAAAGCTTCTACCCCACTTATCTTCAACCAACTTCCTGCAATTAAGGCAAACAAGTACCGACAATGTTTCACACACTTGTCGTGCACTAAGGAATAAACAACATTAGACAACTTGGTCAGACGGACCGAACTGCTCTGATACCACTAAAGTAACACCCCAAATCTACCCCACAGTTATACTAAAATCAGAGTGCCAAAATTTCCGCAAACATGAGGCATTACATTCTCATTTCAAAAACCAACAACATAAAAACCTATCATAATAGATGCATAGCACATATTAATCCAAAGAACTTATAACAATTAATTATTCTTCCAAAATATTTCAACTTGATTCCATAAATACGTAGCAAATTCACAACTTTAAAACTTCAAAAGAAACATAGCATCTTTTAAAGAACTTAATTCAAAGAAAACAACTTCTTGAAATAACAACTTGGGTTAAACTGAAAACATCATAAAATCAAATAAGTGTTCATCCCCCCAAGTGCTACGTACCAGAGTGACGACACTGACTCGAACTAACGATGTACAATTATCCTTCTTGATTACCTGTATATTACCAACAGAGGGAAACATTCAAACAGTAAGGGGTGAGATTCTCAAATCGTATAAGTGAGCACATGATAAATCATATATTAGAATCAGTTCATGCAAAAATCACTATTTTACAACAACAATCACAACAGGATATCATCAAAATGCAAAAATTAATTCATTAACACAACAACTTATTTGTACAACTTGGAATGCGACTCAATATTATGCGAATGCATGTGGTACCATTGGAGTAAAACTCCCAACATAAACATTTACCAGTAATCTCGAGGCACAAGGCATAAGCCTTCTTCACAATTCATTTTTCCAATACAGGCCTTCACAAAATCCTCCAATACAGGCCTTCACAAATGCAAATGTATGAATGTACAACACATACAACAATATCATTAAACACTTCATGAGGGATACGCCTATATCACTAATATTACCAATTAATAGAGGTAAATCTTCATCATAACCATTCCTGCAACTTCACAAAAATATTCTCAACATCATAACATCAACGTACATCACAAAGGAAAACACAAACACAATAGTTGTTTCCAAAACGTTCCCATAAATCTCTATGTATTAGTTCTTTATTATTTTATTATTCTCCTAATATTCACTTCTAAAATCCACTACATGACAATATATTTTCTTCTGCTATTTAATTAATCCTCCAAAACAGTTACTGCAACTTTACTGATTATTTCTAACTCTGCCTTATTACTGCAGGCTGTTAAAATTATGTTGACACTACTAAGTTAAGATTACTGACATATAGGCTACTTTTGTTAATGTCCCTTCTGCTATAACATACTGATAAGAATAATAAATTCTATGCTTAAATATATATGCCTTATACGAGATACTGATACCATATAAACAATTATATAAACATATTGTTAAGCTACATAAAACAAGAGCCTACCATGAAACATAAGCGTGCCTAACGACACAACTTTTCCTTCACGCACAGTGCCGAACGGCACTCTCCACCTTTCCCTTTCTTCCGACTGGCATCCAACAACAACAACCTGCCGATCATCACGCCTTCCTCCTCAATGGTGCCGACCAACATCCAACAACAACATAGCCTTCTAATCATCACTTATTCGTATAATTTTCTCCAACTTCTTGTTACTTCTCCAATTTTCATTCGATTGACATACTAACCAACGTATAACACAAGAACATGAAATCTCACTAATAATCAACACTAATTAGTTCCTAACATCAATTGCCACAAACAAATACAAACCAACACAAATCAACATAGACAGTAGTAATTCCACATACTAATCCCCATATACAAAAGATCATATGCCCCTTTATAGGATAAGAAACTCCACCCTTACCTTTGTTTGGAGACCGCTCTATAATTTTCGATTACACCTCACTGCTGCCATGGCTCCAAACCTTTCTTCTTCTTCTTTTCTCTAAAACCCTTATATTCTTTACAGCCACTTCTTATTCTCTCTTCTACTTTACAAAAACCTAATTCCTTCTTATTCAACTTTAACATATAATTTCTATTATTAGTTCTATTAGGCCTAATATTCACATCCCACCTTTTACTACCAACAACACTTTAAATTAAGCCCATAAGAAATAATAATAGAATTATTATGATAATATCTTCCACCACTTAATCAACTCAATAATAATCCAACATAATAATATTATTTCTAATATTATTTCTCCGATTAAAGTGACTAATTTATCCGACTATCAACTTACTGCTCAACTCAACATAATTATCTAATTATGCTTCTTAGAATAATACTGATAATTCTCAACTTCGACAATTTCCAATAATCAAATCCTTAATTAATTTAATTAAATAATTAATTTAATTCGGGGCGTCACAGAGGGCCCACTAGTGTAGAAGATTCAGCTGGAGTTGACCAAGAAGGCTTATTTATGGAAGTTAATATGGATAGGACCACTAAGAGCATTAACCAAAAAGAGTCATGTCCGGATGGCACCACTAGTTGGGCAAAAAAATTAAAATTAATGTAAGAGAGAATCCTAATTTGAATTTGGGTGATATAACAGAGAAAAAACAAAAGTGGAATTTAGAGATCAATAAGACACTTGCATACATCATTTGAGACAACACCAACAAGTAGGATCACTCACATGTTCCACGTGATGATACCATATTGAAACAACATCATTTGAGACATGTGAGCCTTGAACTACAATATGTATGACGGTCCACAAAATCAACATGTAGAAATTAGGCTTAATTCATCTGTTAGCCCCGTAACTTAATTTATTGTTTCAATTTAGTCCCACAATTCTTAGACGTGACACTATGGTCCTTTAATCAAACTTCGTTAGACTAATAAATCATTTATGTCAACTTAGTAGAAACACGTTAACAGTCGCCTATGTGGCATATTAACAAACTGATGTGGCATTTTGTTAATGTTTTGTTTCATTTTTTATCATATGATATACTGATGTGTCATATTTAGAAACATAAAATCTAGAACTCTTAAGCTTCCGTTTCATTTTCATAGTTCCATTGTCTTTCTCTAAAAAAACCTAGAAGCTACGAAGAATAGCTCGTGCTTGAAAAAAGCGATTGTCTCCATTCTCTCATTTCCAGGCCAAGGTACGTGTATGATCTTACCATTTAGTTTTCATAGTTATCACCTTAACATTGTCTATTGATCCGAATTTCCATTGTCTTCTACTTTGAAGTCTCATTTCTTTCTTATTTGTTGGGATTAAGTCATGAGTGATAGGTTTGAGTGTGTTTTCAATCATGAGGGTGTGTTTGGTGTGTTTAACAGACTAGGTTACAAGGGGTTAGAGGAGATTTGGGATGTTGACCCCGATTTTTGGAGTTATTCTGAGATTCTGGATGGGTTAAGAGACTTAGGGTACCCAAAATTAGATAGCTTGTGGTGTTATGATGCAATGGATGATAATGAGTTAGGGTTGTTGCAAGACGCTGCAAGAACAAATAGACTGAAAATTATTGCACTGATTACTGGGAATGTGCATCTATATATAATGCATCCAGTGTTTGAGGAAGAGAAAACACTGCCTCTTAAAAACAATGCATGTCCCAATGGTGTAGAAGACCAGAACTTGGAAGATTTGAATAATGTTATTATAATAGGAACTGGCTTCAGGACCATTGCAGATTTGAATAATATAGGTAACAAATTTGATGAAGGAGGGCCCACTGGTGTAGAAGATTCAGCTACAGTTGACCAAGAAGGTTTATTTGTGGAAGTTAATATGGATGGGACCACTGAGAGAATTAACAAAAAAGAGTCATGTTCGGATGGGACCACTGGTTGGGCAACAAAATTCAAAGTAATGTAAGAGAGAATCCTAATTTGAAGTTGGGTGATACAATGGAAGAAATAAATCTAACCAAAAGATCATAGTCCCGCGATGTCCCTTAAGTTGTCTACGAGAAATGATCTTATCCCTCGATGTTTCCTGCGAATATACAATGATAGTCACTTCAAATTGCTAAGGTATCCCTACATGTTGCCTTTTATGACCATAACGATGACCCACGTTTGTCCCTCACACATCCAACGATAGGGCTTCCCGCTAACCAATGGTAGGATAGCACTATCTAAAGAAGGAGGAAAAGAACAAAAGACTTTTGAGTAGGTAGATAGCTCGTAATCGCTTGCTCACACAAAACATCTTTTTCATAAAACACTTTCTTCTGAAATATTTTCAAAAAGAAACACTTTGTATGCATTTTTAACTGATAAAAGAATCATTACAAAGTTGCTGCACTTAGGCATTTTCAAAATATTTTCAAATACACACAAAGCATTTTCAAAGGGAGCTAGCGATTAAGAGCCCGTAGATAACTACAGATGAAAATGGTGCTAACACTTTCCCTTTTCATAACCTACCCCCCGAACTGAGAAATATCTCGAAGGTCTTTCCTGTTCTTTTCACCCTTTCCTTTATTAGATAAAAGAAAAGTAGGGACTCTGCTGGGGAAAATAAAAGTGGGGTTACCTTTAGAGTTTGATCACATTTAAAATTCTTTACTTGCTTGATTTGTATGCTTTATATTTCGGGGTTTTGCTCGGGTTTATTTCTGTAAAGATCCTATACCCGGATCTGAGGCATTTTAGGTAAGTAGCTATATATCGTGGAAACTGTACGGAATATACCAATATGGTTGAAGTGATGGCTACGTTAGTGCGACACATTGGTTGGTTCGGGTGTCCCTTGAGTCAGTCAAGGAGAATGTTGGGTTGTCATGTGGTGTCATAAGAACTAACTAACCTTAGAACCTTAGTTAACACAACTTAACCATTAGAAAGTAGTGAGATGGCCGGCTTTGGTGCATACTGAAGTTGGTTAATACTCGATGCTGCACTCATTGAGGTCGGACTCTCCGGATATTTTGGTCATAATTCAGATGCTTGTGCTGAAACAATGCCTGGGAGAAAGATCAGTGATATGAGACTCCTAGAACCCAGTTACTTCTTTTAGGACAGGTTGAGCCAACTGAACCTCAAGAGGGTACTTACCTACAAACTCCATGCAAGCCTTTAAACCTAAGGCAACTTGTGTGACTTGTTTGAATTCATTATCTAACAACTTGAACTCATTGCAGGGCTCGGTTGTATTCATTATCTAAACAACATGAATTCCTTGCAGGACTTTTTTGTATTCATTATCCAATAACTTGGACTTCTTGCAAGACTTAATTGCTTTCATCACCTTACACTTTTGCTTGGTGCATAGCATACACATCATAACATCATACCATATCATTATCACTGACCATTTCAAAGATCTCAAGGGTTTGTGATGTAGGTTATCATGAACCAGACGTCTAGCGAGGGGCAGGAGGATTTATTTTCCTCCAGCCAAATGTCGTCAAAGTATCATGAATTGACGTCTAGCAAGGGGCAAGGGGATTTATTTTCCTCTAACCAATGTCGTCAAAGACCAAAGTACGCTATCTTGAGTCAAAGACTAGGACCTACTCGACATGGTGAACTCGATTCTTATAGAAGGACATTTAATGATGCGAAGTTCTTCAATCAAAGTTGCAACAACTTCTAACAGTTCAATTTTTGTTTATCCCGCGAGATCCTTGAAAACATTGCATCTATATATCATGCATTTCATTATATAACAGGTAGTTCTCAAGAGAGGTTTCTCATTTTCTTGTTGTTTATTTCAGCAGAAAAATGGCTCTCGAACAGACCGTCACAGATCTCTAAGCTCAAAATGTACTATTCCAAGAGATGTTCCTAAGCTTAGCCAAGGGGCAGGAGGAACTGAAAGCACTCCTCACCAAGAATCCTGAAGACAACAAGGAGGATCAGTTGGAAAAATTGTTAGCTGAGATGGCAAATATAAGAATCCAGATGATGGGTCATATGACTCTTATCCAAAACTTAGCTCGGGGACAAGAAGAGTTGAGAATTTTCATCAGCAAACTTCATCAGGACGAATACAACCGTATGGGATGAACGGTTAGAATGGGGGATCAAATCATCGATCAACCTTCGATAAGATAGGAAGTTGGCTTGGTTGAAAGTAGGCCTTTCCGGATTGCTACTACATTACGAGCCCAACAACACCCTCGCCAACAACAACAGGGTAGTCAGCGTAAACAAGATACATCTAAAAGACAATATAACAAACTCAACACGCTGATGTCGCAAGCTTTGCAACAAATGTTGAAGAAGAATTTGGTCACGTTTAAGAATCCTCCTCAGAATCCCAATACTTCCTCTCCCCATCACAATCCGAATGTAAGGTGCACGTACCACTCCAATAGTCCTGGACATGACACTAACAATTGTTAGACGTTGAAACATAAGATTCAGGACCTGATTGATGAAGGAGTTTTCAAGTTCACACAAGACGATCAAATTGAGTTTTTCTATCATCCTTCAAATATCGAAACTGCAAGGCACACCATCTGAAGAGACAAGTTCAGGCGGAAGAGCTTTAAGATCATTTAAATTTAGGATTTGTAATTTCTTTTGGTTCAAACAATTACTGTCATGTCAAACTTTGGTTCTTCCCATTAATGCATTGCATATGTTTATCTTGAATTAATCCATTCGTTTTCACTATACTAAAACTATACTTTTTACTTCCTTTTCATGATATTCAACTCTTGCTAAAAGCTATAAGCCTTTAGAGGGAGGATGACGAAAATGATACCATAAACTCATACAGTATGCTTTTGAACAAACCTTGCTGACGATGTACATGCGTTTCTTCAATTCCTAAACAGTGGAGATATAAGGAAGTTAATCCCTAGTCAACCCCTTTGAGCCTAAGAAGTAGGAGTTTTCTTCTTCACACGAATTGAAACCTTTAATAATAACCTGGGGAAGGGTAGTTTCTCAGGTAATTCAAATGTGCGTTCAGTCGCAAGCTTTCACTTCATACACAACAGGTGATATCAAAGACATCCTTCCGAATACAAAGTCGGTGATGGTTCTGCATAATCATTAAATCAGGCAGTCATTACCTTTCAAAAGAAGAGTCCACTAAGTCAAAACCTATGAAGGAGACTTAAGAAAAACGGAGGCATCCTGCTGACTGTAATCTCAAACAAAACAGTCAAGAAAAAAATTAGGGATAATAAAGTCAAAAAGAGGCCACTACAAATCCTCAACAAAAATAAAATGTTACAAAAATGATTGTCTTCTCAAATAAACTTCTATAATTCTAACCATCACCAAAATATCATTCCAGACTCAATTGGAATCTAAATGCATAATTAACTGAGCATAGGGCTAAAGAACATCACGAAGAACGGGTTGAGTACAAATAAAGTTTGAGCCTTTATCCTTTTTTTCTTAAACCATGACCCAGGCCACGTTACAACCCTTAAAGTCCTAATTAGAGCATGAGTTAGTTCAGAAGCATACTGTTACAAAAATGTATTCTGACTCCTGTAAGGTTTACTATAAACTCTGAGTTGATATCACATTCTTGCAAATTTTGCTTTACTAAAAAATATATTTTTTAAACTTTAAGACAGACATAAGCTTTGCATTTTAATACCACTATTTGCATATGACTAAGTGGTTGACGACATAGAAATTCGCATGATGAACATTCAATGAACGAAAATCCTCCCAATGGACAACATTACTTCAGAGGACGAGTCAAAGAGAAAGACACTCTCGTGGACATAATCGATTATAAATCAGGGGGCATGACATGTTATTGTCTAACTCATCTGTGGAAGCATGTATGATTAAGAAAAATTTACTGGCAATGCTACAACACTTACTACCACGGATAGTGAAAATTCCCCGCACCCTGTGAACGCGTACATAGTCAAAAGATACTACACATAAAAGAGACATGCTAGGTTGACATGCCTAGGAAAAAGTAAGGACATCTCGACAAACCAAAATGGTTCGGGAAAACAATCAATTTTTTTCCATCAAACAACCAAAATGGCATCTCGACATGCCTAGGTTAACCATCAATTTTTTTTCATCAAACAATCATAAAACATTTGTCTCTTTTCTTTTCAATTTTACCGCCTCGCATATTTTACTGTCGTGTATTTCATTCTTATGTATCTTCTAATGGTTTGTAATAGTTTAAATTAGGGTTTTACTATTTCCCTCGATTTTATGGTTTGTACCCCTTCCCCAAATCTTTGTAATAGCGTAGGACCTTTTAATTTCCGCCTTTTACTGCTTTCCTTATAATTGTCTAGTTTAATAGGATTGTATGGCAAGATCTAAAAGCAAACGTAGAAAACCTTAATCAAGATAAATTAATTGAACTGGATCATTTTTCACATACGCACCTCTAGGGTAACTCAACTTGTTGCCTTCGGAAAACATGGTCATGTCCCTCGAACATATAGATACCCTTAGCAAAGACCATTAGTTAAAATCATCATAAATATCATAGTCCCGCGATGTCCCTCGAGTTTCCTACGAGAAATGATCTTGTCCCTCGATGTTGCCTACGAATATACGATGACAGTCCCTTCAAATTTTTAAGGTATCCTTACATGTTTCCTTCTATGACCATAACGACGACCCACGTCTGTCCCTCACACATCTAACGATAGGGCTTCCCACTAACTAATGGTAGGATAGCACCATCTAAAGGAGGAGGAAAAGAACAAAATACTTTGAGTAGGTAGATAGCTCGTAATCGCTTGCTCACACAAAACATATTTTTCACAAAACACTTTCTTCTGAAATATTTTCAAAAACAAACACTGTATGCATTCTTAATTGATACAAGAATCATTACAAAGTTGTCGCACTTAGGTATTTTCAAAATATTTTCAAACACACACAAAGAATTTTCAAAGTGAGATAGCGATTAAGAGCCCGTGG